AATTAGCTAAATTGGACCTGACATCTTAGCAGTGTAGAAAAAATGAGGCAGAAATGAAGCCACCTTTGCTGTTGCTCACCCTCATCAGATTGGGGAAAAAGAACTATTACTACCTTCTCTAATGTAGTAGATACCAGATTATCTTTAATTTCCTCAGCTAGCTATCAAGAAGGTTTCTAAGGGTTAAGGTAGCAAGGGAAGAGCTGGAAACAAGCAGTTGCTTCACCAAGAAGCCTGGGATACGGGATGGATAGAACAAAGGATGCACTTTATCATGAAACTGAACTGCAATGCCAACCCTCCTGTCCTGCCCTGGTGCGGTGTCAAGGCCGCTATCTCAGATGGTTTATTGTTCCCTGCAAGGCCATTTCCAGCTCCACAGTTCTGTGAGGTGGTGGCATCATTGCCAGGAAAGTACTCTCTTTACTTTCTGGGTTTCTCCAGTCTTGCTCCTAAGACCAAGTTCTCATTTATTTCACCAATCAGATGATTAGCCTTTCTTTTCTTTGTTACCCCAAAACCCTATCTACCTGGTGTATCTAGCCTCCAGCACCAGGTTTTGGGGTGAGATCACCATCAAGCATGGTGAGTTCCCCAGGAAATACCTTTCCTATCTTCTTTGCAGTACTCGAATAGCCAGTTTGTCTTTGTTTGCTTTTAGTAATTGTGTAATCTAGTCATCCTTGTTGACAGAGAAAGTGTTCACAGCTCTCCAGTGGCCAGCAGATTCAGGAATCATTTTGATTTCCTGAAAAATACTATAATATTTGCATGGATTTAAATGACATCTTTTTTTTTCAGGTCTTTATAAATATTTGTTTACCTTTGGTGAAGCAGGTATTATCTTCATCTTATAGTTAGGGACAGAAGTCCTGAGAATTACTGATAAAATGATTTGGCCAGAGTTGTACATAAAACATAAGGGGCCCAAATTTCTTTGACATGCAGTTCAGTGCTTTGACCAAGAGCTGAACTTCTTAGAAGCACATTCCCTTATCTTGGAACTGGGAAGATATAGATTCAACCTGAAAGGAATCATAGGGTTAAACTCTGTTCATTTTTCTTTCACAACAGGCTGCTGCTGGGCCCCTTGACATGTCTCTACCTTCCACACCAGACATCAAAATCAAAGAAGAAGAGCCAGTGGAGGTAGACTCATCCCCACCTGATAGCCCTGCCTCTAGCCCTTGTTCCCCACCACTGAAGGAGAAGGTAAAATTCTCTACTAAGGGTCATCTCAAATGTTAATTGATAAAGTTTTGTTTATTCATTATATAAATAGTGTGTCCTAACTACTCAGGAGACCAAGATGGGAGAATCACTTGAGCCCAGAAATTCGAGACCAGCCTAGACAATGTGGAGAAACCCCATCTCCACTTAAAATACAAAAATTAGACGGCTGGGCGCGGTGGCTCAAGCCTGTAATCCCAGCACTTTGGGAGGCCGAGGCGGGTGGATCACGAGGTCAAGAGATCGAGACCATCCTGGTCAACATGGTGAAACCCC